TGCTGTATCTTTAAAATCATAAATAATGCCTTTTCAAATTTTCCTGCAAAATTAAACAATTTTCTTCATATCTTGAACAATTCTTATTAAGTTTATTCTTAGATATTTTGTTTGTTGCTCTTATGAATGTTTTCCACTTTCAAACTGCTAATCTGGAAGTAGTTGATTTTTCTGTGCTAACCTTACTACACACATTTTACTTGTTCAAAGACTCTCTCCATTGGTTGTCTTCAACTTTCTAGGTAAACAACTTTATTATTCTTTGTTAATGCATTAATTTCATTAACAAATATTACCTGAACACCTGCCAAAAGTCAGGCCTGGTTCTAGGTGCTCATCGTACATTGGTGAACCCAAGAGACCAATGGAAGTTCCTGCCCTCATGGAACTTACACGGGGTGGGGATGGCGGGGGGTCAACAGTGACCGTTTTGCATATTCCTTTTTGACATCTTAAAATGTTCATTTCTCAGGGCTTCCCTGGCGGTCCAGTGGTTGAGACTCCGTGCTTCCAATGCAAGGGGTGTGGGTTCGATTCCTGGTTGGGGAACTAAGATCCCACATGCCAGATTTTCATTTCTCCTTCCTGCCTTCCTGCATTGCCTCAGACCTCCAGACCAGAATGGTCACAGGTGCCCTGACTCGTTACTGACTTCATGGAAATGCAGTAGCATTTCACTGTTAGTACGAGGCTTGCTGTAGGTTTCAGGTGAGTCCCTTCATCAGGAAGACTTCTTAGTTGAAGTAAAGGAAACCAGCTCCAGCTGATGTCAGTGGAAAAGGGATTTTTCTGAAGGAATATTGGAGGCTGCATAGAATTGCTGGAGAGGCCCAAGGACTAGCCATGAAAAATGGCGGGAACAAAGGGCAGCTACACAGCCAGCACAGCAGAAGTCAGACTGCACACCTGGTCCAGTTAGGAAACCGCTGGACAAAACAGAAACGCTTGTTCCGTTGCCAGGCGGCACCAGGCACTGGAGGCTGCCGCTACTACAGCTACTCCAGGAAGTGAAGACAGGAAGTGAAGGAAGTGAAGGGAAGAGGAAGTGAAGGGCTGCTCTTCCCCTACCCAGCTGGGAGGGAGGCTAAGGATGTGAGACCCAGTATTTTAAGTTCCTATAAATGAAAAGTTGGGAATTCAGGCACTGAGCAGGGCTTCAGGAGTTGAGCAGCCAACAAAAATTATTAAATGTCTTCTACACATTAATTAATTAACTGAGGGCCTCCACCCCCTTCCCAGCTCACCAATTTTGTTTTTGGTGTCTGTGTCTTGTCATGAATGCATACTGAATTATTTGCTTCTAAAATGATGATGATTCTTTTTTTTTTTTTTTTTTTGCGGTACGCGGGCCTCTCATTGTTGTGGCCTCTCCCGTTGCGGAGCACAGGCTCCAGACACGCAGGCTCGGCGGCCATGGCTCACGGGCCCAGCTGCTCCGCGGCATGTGGGATCTTCTCGGACCGGGGCACGAACCCGTGTCCCCTGCATCGGCAGGCGGACTCTCAACCACTGCGCCACCAGGGAAGCCCTATTCTTGATCTTTGATCTGTCAGGTATTTCATAAGACGATCAAGATATTTTTTCTTCTTTAACCTTTTATTAAATATACTCTTAGGCTGTCCTTACAGTCCCAGGAGAGACCCTCCTTGTTGTAATGTATTAATCTTCTTTAGAGCTCAATTTGCTATCATTCTACTCAGTATGTTTGCAGGTGTATTTCTTTTTTTTAAAAAATTATTTAATTAATTTATTTCTGGCTGCGTTGGGTCTTCATTGCTGCCTATGGGCTTTCTCTAGTTGTGGCGAGCGGGGGCCACTCTTCGTTGTGGTGCACGGGCTTCTCATTGCAGTGGCTTCTCTTGTTGTGGAGCACGGGCTCTAGGTGCGCGGGCTCAGTAGTTGTAGCTCGCGGGGCTCAGTAGTTGTGGCTCGCGGGCTCTAGAGAGCAGGCTCAGTAGTTGTGGTGCACGGGCTTAGTTGCTCCGCGGCCTGTGGGATCTTCCTGGACCAGGGCTCGAACCTGACCCCTGTGTTGGCGGGCGGATTCTTAACCACTGCATCACCAGGGAAGTCCCAATACTGATGTATTATTATTAAAGTGCGTGTTTTATTCTTATCTTCTTCGTGTTTACCTGAAATCGTTTTTCAGCCCCAGGAGGCGACCGTGGTCACCACATTTCATTTAGACTTGAGTCCCCCTTGGCTCCTCTTGGCTGGGACGGTTTCTCGGTGTTTCTGTAGTTTTGATGACTTGACGATTGGAGGAGCGGGGAGTTTGTAGAATTTCCCTCTGCTGGGCATCGTCTGAGGTTTGTCTGGTGGCTGAGCTGGGGTGGTGTGTTTCTAGAAGGAAGACACGTCACGTCCTCTCAGGGGCGCATACTCTCAACACGACGCATTTCTGCTGATGTTGACCTTGACCACCTGGCCGAGGCCGTGTCTGTCAGGTGACTTCACTGTCCAGTGGCTCCTTCCCTGTCCACACTGTGCTCTTCGGGAGGAAGTCGCTCTGCGCGGCCGACACTTAGGGGGAGTCGTGCTTCCCTCCTTGGGGCACGACATCTACGTCACTTACTCGGGATTTTTCTGTGTGGCAGGTTTGTCTCTTTTCCCTCGTTTACTTACTTATTCAATCATTTATATACGTTAACGTGGGCGTGGGAATGTCATTCTTTGGGTGATAACCCACTGCCATGTCATTGCTCACAGAGCTCCAGCTGGCCCCCGTGTCTTTTCAACACCCCCTCCTCACTATGGCTTCAGTGAATATTTTTAAATCAAAATAATATACACCCAGACAAAAAAAATCAAAATAATACAGGTCACAAAATGAAAAGTGGAGATCTCTTATCTCACGCCCGAGAAGCAGCCAGTTTTAACCGCTTCTGCTTCCAGTTCTTCAGGTAAGGACCAACATAGCTTTGAAAAATAGATGCGAATAACTCCTTGTTCAAGTTAGGACAGCATCTACTGACTCCCTCATGAAAAATAAGAGATTAGCTCATTTCCCTATCGATTTATCCCTAGTTTTGATATTGGAACTAAACATGTTTTCTATTTAGGTCTTTTTAAAAATAATATACCTAAGTATCTATTTCTGGTTCTATAAACTTTAGACAGCACCTCCTGGTGTCTGCTCCCCTAGGTGGCAGAACAGATCCTCAACATTGCCCTTCCCCTCGGCCCCCTAGCCTCCCAACCTTGTCAGGGTGCGTGAGTGGGGAGACCTGCCCTGTCCACCTTCTGCTCCCCCTCTCCACCAGTGCCAGCACGAAAAGGGCTTCGTCAGCAGGGTGGTCTCAAGCTGGGGCGCACCTGGGTACACAGGAAGACTTTTCAAGGAGGGAGAGGCAGGATAGTTTGAAATAAATTGTCCTAAACTATTCCTAAAATTGACCTGCCTGTGAACAGTTTCTCCCCACCGCCTTCCACCATCACCTCCTCCTACTCGCATCCCTTCGATGCTGTGGAGCTTTGCTCTGGGCTGTGCAAACCATTACATTTACAGTGATGCTGTCAAAAGTCTAGGCCTCAGGCCTCTCTCACATGGGGCTCTCCGAGTGCTGGAACTTGCTGGGAGTTGTAGAGGGCTCCACACGGGGAGGGAAAACCAGGTGGAGTGAGAAACATTTCCTTATAAACACTTTCAGGTAATTGCCTACAGACACTTCAGAGGACTTGGAAAATCTGTAAGTTTCAGTGAGCTTAGCAGGTTGCAGGATGCGACAGTACCCAAAAATCCAGTATATTTCTATATGTTATCAGTGAGCAACCAAATGAAATATACCCATAGTAATCGCAGTAACATAAAAATATGAACACTTAGGGATACATCTGACAAAAGATGTGCAAGCCCCGTACACCGAAAACTACAAGATCTTGCTGAGAAAAATCAAAGAAGACCTAAATAACAGAGAAACACACGGTGTTCATGGGCTGGAAGGCTCCATATGGGCAGCTTCCCGGGTGAGGGTGACCGAGGCGCTGGGAGAGGCACCAAGGCAGAGGTGCATTGTCCGGCGGGCTTTGCAGTTTGTCCTCTGCGGGGACGCTGCTTGCTGTTGGGCTGGGACAGGGTGCCGTTTGGTAAATGCACGTTGACCAAGTGAGAATGAGGGTCCAGCTGAAAGGAAGGCCGGCGCTTCCACAACCAGAGAGAAAGCTGAGAAGACCAACGCCCCTCCCAAGAGCATCCTCATCCAGAAAGGAAACCAAGACCCCAAATGAGCACAGCGGTGGCTCCTACTCAGAGCTGCTGAGCGGCGAGCCCCACGTGCGCGTGTTTACAGAGACCCAGGGCGGGCGGGGGAGGGGGGCCCGCAGGAGGAGGGGCTCAGGTGGGCCCACGGAGGTGGGGGCCGTGGGGGGGGGCGGCCCACTAGAAGTGGTGCTTGGTTGGGGGACCGAACGTCGGTCATATTTGGCTTCCTCTGGCTGGTCCTGAGTGGGACACAGGGGCAGGAATCGGGGAAGCTGTCAGTCAGCGACCAAGTCCTGGCCGCTTGGGCTGATTGTTCCAGGGGCTGATGTGTGGTTTGCTGGACCAGCTGTTAGGGACACTGTCTGACTTCCTGCCGGTCCAACTTACAGCAGGTGGTCGCTGCACTGCAGGTGAGGGGCGGCCTCGCCGCCGGCCGCAGGGTGCAGGCCACAGCCCCGGGTCCGACTCTACACGCAGCCCCACTGTCAGCCCCCCGTCCCTTCCCCGGCCCTGTGTCTGAGGGGACGCAGTCAGGCCTCAGGCAGCGTCGCAGAAACGAGTCACCCCGCCGGGCCCCGCCTCCCGCCCGCCTGTCTCCAGGCGGTGCCGGCACGTCCCGCGCGCACCTGCTAGACGCCCGCGCCCCGCCCCCGCCCGGCTGCGCACGCGCGGACCCCTCCTCGCGTCCCGACCCGTGCACGCGTCGCACGCGCGGCACGCGCCGCGCGCCCTCGCGCACGCGCAGGCCCCGCCCCACGGCCAGTGGGCGGTGCTGCCGCTTATCCGCGGAGCTCCGGCCGCGAGCGTCAGTCATTCGGAGCCGCGGGCCGACCGCGCTCTAACTACCGCGGCGTTCCCGCTCCCTCTCCCTCTCCCTCTCCCTCCTGGAGCGCCCGCCGACCCCAACCCCGACCCGCCGGCTGCAGCGCCCTCGCCCTGCCGCCATGTCGCAGAGCGAGACCCCCGGGCTGCAGGAGGAGAGCCTGCACGGTGAACGGGGGCCGGGGGCCGGCCTGGGTGTGGGGGACCTGCGGGGAAAAGGCGCCCGGCCTACAGAGGAGGGGCCTGCGGAGGGACTCCCGTCTCCGGGTCGAGGCGACCGAGGCGCCGACGTCGTCCCAAGCCCGCGCGGTGCCTGGTCTTCCGAGGTGCAGCCCGGTGCTGGTTTCGGTGCCGGTGCCGCTACCGGCGAGCAGGCGCCCAGACTTGCGGTTGGACTCGTGGACTCGGGTTGTGAGCCATCCGCGGCTCGGTCCGGAGTGGCTGGGGAGGACGGGGTCCCGGGATTCGGGGCGAGCCGCCGTGAGAGGAAGAACCCTGAAACGCTGGGCCGGGGGCGCGGCTGGCCTTTCCTTAGTTACGTTCGCTCGTCCGGGGGTCGTTCAGAGCCCAGCTCGGGGTTGACTTGCGCGGGGGAGCACGAGGCCCCGTGGCCGCGGTGCATACACCCCGCCCCCTCCCGGGAAGCCGGGGCCGGTGGCGGCCTTGACCCACCCGGCTCTGGCCCCGCGGGGCCGCCCCCGGGCCGCCGCCTCCGGCCCCGGTGAGGAGCCCGAGGCCCACGGGTTGGAGGAGGGGCCGGGCGCCGACCTTTATTCTCTGAAGCAACAGTTCAGGCGGCGGCGGGAGCTCGTAAATAAGTTTTGGAGAGGGCCGTTGAAGCCTTAGAGAGTGAATTTTAAAGTTTCGTTAAGATTTAAAAATCTTTATACTGTCTGGATTTGAGCTACTAGTTTCTCGTATTCCTCAAAACAAGATTTCACTAGGCAAGACTTGGTCTACTGCGTTGTATAATTTAAAACTACAACCGCAGCTTAAAAATCCTGCAATCGCTCCTTAAATTTCGACAGTGATTGTTTTCTTTGAAACAGATTAAGGGATTGAATCTTTGTCTTACAAAAGATCCAAGGAGTATTTTCTAAACTGTCTTTTAAAGTCAGCCCTGTTATCAAACTACTTAGTTGCTAACACGGTCTGTTTTATTAGTGGGTCAGATTTGTCGGGAAGAGTTCGGAGTGTCCTGAGCGGCTCCATCTTCGGTCCTCGATTGGCAGACCAAACTGCTGAGTCATTGGCAATGCAGAGTGCCAGCTCGTGGGTTAAAAGATTTTTCTGTTTTGTGTATTCTATAAAAAGACAGTTACACGCTGAGTGGAAAGTGTCGAGGATTCTCCGGGCTGCGCTCTCCGGGATACGTGCTGCGGGGCACTCGCTCCCCGGCCGCCCGGTGTGGGAGGAGTCACGTGGGGCCTCGGCCGCTCTGGGAAACTGAATCCGAGCAGGGATTGGTGGCTGGGGCGACACTTGTCCTCTGCTCTGTGTTGATTTGATTACCTCTTGTTTACCTCGGAAAGAACTGAGAGCCTTGGTAGCTGAGCCCGCAGACAATGGCAAACCTTTTCCCCTTTGCTTGTATCCTCGGACCAAATGTTTCCCCTGAGTTCACAGCGAAGTTGACGTCGCCTCTCGGCCCCCTGGTCCCTACTAGTTTAAAGTTGTGAACCAGCAGCAAGATGTCGTATATGCCTTTCTTGTCCTCAGATAAACAACCCCTAATATGCAGGGAGAAGATGGAGTTTTGTGATACTGTGTCACAGCATCATGGGAGGGGGTGTGAACCTTACTTCCCAGAAGACCCACCCCCAACCCCTGCTGTGTTGGGGGGGGGTCAATGTAGTAAGGTGCTCCTGGTTTACCCTGAGACAGCCCCTGCCCCTTCACGCACTGCTCTGTCTGCAGCCAGAGGGTTCCGCTGTCCCAGGCACCCAGCGCGGCTGAAGGTATATGAAGAGGAAGAGAATTCGCAGTTCTCGTGCCATGCAGTTTGGGAGGGAAGGGGTTTCAGGCATCTAGATCCTGGCCCAACCTCTACTTTTCACAGATGTTCACAGTGAGGCCCAGAGGTGAAGTGAGAAACAGGGCAGGCAGGCGCGTCGGCGACAGAAGACATTAGACAGAAGGATGGGTGCGATTTGCCAGCTCCTGTTAAGATCCAGGAACCTGAATGACTTACCTGCTTGACTTTATGTTCAAAATCACTTGTCAGTCAAGCCTCTCATTCCTGTCCCATCTAACCTGAGAAGCTTTTAAAAACAGTCATTTCTTAAATCCCACCTCTCCCAGGGAAGAAGCCCTCTGATGAGGGTGGTAGTTGCTCTGCCCCAGGGCTCTCCTCAGGGATTCCACCTTCTCATTAATCCCATAGTCGTGTAGGTCGGTCCCCTAGTAGTTTTCAACCCCGGCTGCCCGACATCACCGTTACAGCTTTTTCAAAATAAATGTACCAGGGTTCCATTGCAGCATTCCCAATAAGGATTTTCAGGCCGCTGGGTTAGACTTCTGGAGAATGGGGGGGGAAAGCCGCACAGGTGGTCCTCCATAGCCAGGGCTGAGACCTGCTACCCTGGACTAGGGATACTGTCTAGGGATACTGTCTGGATTTGAGCTACTGGAGCCTCTGCCAGCTGGGGCTGGAGGGGAGTGTTTGCCCCGGGATGTAGGAGGGCCTGGGGTCCCACAGTGGCGGCAGGAACTTTGAGAAGCTTTGTGCAGAATATTTAGGCTGAACAGCGTGGGTGCTATATTAAAGTTACTTGATAGAGTAAGGGTTCCTTCCACAGGTTGAAAAAGTACTGCTGTCTCTCTGTTTTCAAGCTGGGTAAATCAGAGACAGCTGGAATCTATTCCGCCACCCAACTAACCAAGCAGTGGCTCAGTGAACTACGGTTAACACTTCTGCATGTGTTCCTAGCTTGCACTCAGTTAACAGCAGTAGAGTTTAGCTGAATTAAATGGCACCTATGGCTTACCCAGTAGTAAGTAGCTATGTGTTTGGGTAATTCCTGTAGCCTCTCTAGGGCTCTAAGATGTGATAACATTTTGAGTTACAAATCTCGGGGCCCACAGGTCATCAAAGTCAAAACATGGCCTTTATTTTCTTTGGGACCAAGGATCGTGGAGGTCACAGGAGATTTAAAAAAAAAAAAAAAAGAAATGGGTTAACTCTAAGGCCTGTGGGTTTTCTTTCTGTGGTGATGTAATATTGGTAGCCTAGGCTTTCCGTCCATCTCATCTGCCTTGTGTTAGTGCCCTGTGTCTTGTTAGCCTAAATTACAGGCCTTTGTGGGCGGGGACAGGAATCGGGGAAGCTTGCCTGGATCAGCGGCTTCACCACCTGTTTTGTTTTTTTTCTGAGGCCTAATTACACCAATTATCTGATAGGTTATTTGGGATTCTGAGGAAGCCTTACAAGGTTACCCTTCAGCGACCTGAATCCCGTCTTTCTTGCTTACGAAGGTGAGTGATCTTAATTGCAGATGCGAGGAGATTAATGGCACACCTTGTCTTCAATTTCCAGGAAGCTGCTTTCCCTACCCAGGTGCTGCAGGTTAATAATAAAACTGTTGTCCTTTAGTAAATCATTTCTTAGAATACAGCTTTTGGACCTAAAGCTTTTGCTGTAGACACCCCAGAATGAGATTTTTTTCTGAAGGATGCTTGAGACTTTCTATGAGATGATTCTAAAAAGCGTATATATTTGTCTCCATGGAGTTTTGAGTTGGCCCTTGTGGTATAATATACATACACCTGAAACTGATAATGTTATATGTCCATTATATCTCAATTTGAAAAATATATTTCATCTTTGTCCCTGGTTCCTGACCCAGACAGAGCTCAGCTCTAAAAACCCTTGGAATTTCCCGAGAGATGTTGTTATTCATGAGGAGCCCCTTTGGTGAAGCTTGAGTCTGCTAATGAGGTAACTCACGAGGCCCTAGGTAGCCTCCGGGTGGGGATGGGAAAGCGCATTGGAGCACGAGGGTGGGAGCTCAGCACACACTCGCCACCGCCACCAGGAGGGGAGGGGCTGCAGACTGGGTTATAAAAAACTTTGAAAAAGGCTGAACCCACTGAGGTCCTGGGAGAGGGTATGGAAACTGTCCCCTTCCACTCCCGCCCCCCATACCCTGCCCTGTGCACCTGGCTGTTCCTGAGCTGTAATCCTTCTGAGACTGGGGAAGTGTAAGCACTGGGAGTTCTCGTGAATTACTGAAGAGGGTGGGGGTTGTCGGAACCCCTGAATTCTTGGTCTCCCAGGCATGTGAGGCTGTCTGATGGGGGGACAGTCTTGTGGGACTGAGAGGTCTTCAACTTGTGGGATCTGACACTCCAGGTAGTGTCAGAACTGAATTGTTGGACAGCCAGTTGGTACTGGAAATTGCTTATTGGTGTAGGCCTGCCCCCGCCCCAATTTCATGTCAGAAGTGGTGTCAGAGAAGACATTGCACCTCAAACTCCATTTATGTCGGACACCGTAAGTAAAAGTGATCTGGGCAGCCAGGCCCAGAACCTGACTGAGAACCTAGAAAAATGGAACTGTGCCCAGAGCAGGGCGCCGTGGTCCTCTTCCATGCCGTAGGGGGCCAGAGCTGCTGGGCCGAGTGTCACCTTGCTCCTGGGAAGGAAGGAGGGCTAGTGAAGGAGTCGCACGGTAGAGCCTCTTATGGTTTGCTTCAGGGCTTTCCTAACCCCTGCACAGCCACCAGAGTAGGTGGGAATAGGGTCCCCAGTCAAGACGGGCTGTCTCAAGAATGGCGTGGAGTCCTTGTAGCTTCTGCTGACCTGCAGAGGCTGAGTGGCCCTGGCTTCTGTCCAGGGAGCCCTGGGCTCCCAGACAGACCCTGGCCTGCCTCGTGCGGGCCAGGCCAACATGAAGTAACTTGAGAGGCTGAAGTGAGAAGCGTATCAGCATCTGAAAACTGCTGGTGATCATTTTGTTAGCAGCCAGGTGGGAGGCTGGACGTGGTATAAACGGTGTTACGTTTCATTCCTGGACCCTTGATTTGCTTTCTTCGGATGAATGTGACCTATTCTGCAGCCAAGCTGCTGTTGAGGGCAGGCCTGGGCTCTCGGGGAGGGGCTGACGTGTAGGGGTCTGGGCCCCGAGTGGGTGGTGCTGTGTGGTGCCCCTGGGGCCCTGGTTTGAGCGCAGAGCGGCAGCTCTGGGTCATGGTTCCTGGAGGAGCCGTACAGTGACTACCAGCCTCCGTCGGGGTTTCAGTCTGGTCTGCCATTGCGCTGCCCGTCCTGCACCCACCCCGGAGAGGCCTGGACCCACAACACACAGCAGAGGAACTGCCCTGGGCCCAGGAGACTTGTGCGCGTGGCCAGCTGGGAAGCAGGACGGGGCAGAGGGGACTGCAGAGGCAGTCTTGCCAGTGAACGGAGCCTGGTGGAGGAGTGAATTGAAAGCGAGAACTTTTATGTTCAGCAGAAGGCTTGAGTGGAAAGGCTGTCAAGTTACCTGCAACACATTCAAGTGAAGAAAGGCTTGTGGGGCTTCCCTGGTGGCGCAGTGGTTGAGAGTCCGCCTGCCGATGCAGGGGATACGGGTTCGTGCCCCGGTCTGGGAGGATCCCACATGCTGCGGAGCGGCTGGGCCCGTGAGCTATGGCCACTGAGCCTGCGCGTCCTGAGCCTGTGCTCCGTAATGGGAGAGGCCACAACAGTGAGAGGCCCGCATACCGCAAAAAAATAAAGGCTTGTGTCGGGAGTTCCCTGGCAGTCAAGTGGTTAGGACTCGACGCTTTCACCGGGGCCCTGGTTCAATCCCGCAAGTCTCGCGGCGCGGCCAAAAAAAGAAAAGCTTGTGTCTTGAATATCGAGCTAGATGGAGAAAGGTGGACCGCTCGTTTGGAAAGAGGAGCAGATTTCAACAGCTGCTTCAACGAAGATGCTCTCCACGTGGCCAGTAAGCAAGTGAGGGAATGTTCAACCTCAGTAGAAATCAGAGAAGCGCAGAATAAACCATATAACCTACCACCACACACCCACAGAATGGCTATATTTAAAGACGGATGCCAAGTGTGAGCCAACAAAAATGCTCACATTGCTTCGGCTGTGTCGGAAAGCAGTGGTGTTGCAATACATTAAACGTACACCTAGAACTTTTCCACCCTGGAACCCTGCTCCTAGGTGTGGGTTCAGAAGTGAGAGCCTGTGGACACCGTGAAACGCTGGAAGCCAGCCTGGGTCCGCCGCACAGCGGCAACAGGATGGGGGTCCCCTCTGGTCCAAGCCCCCAGGTGTTGCTTCCGGGCCCTGACCGCCTGCCTTGTCCGCACACCTGTGGGTGGCTCAGCCCCGCCGCACAGAACTTGTACTTTCACCCCTTCAGGACCTCTCTAGGGTTCACACCTGTCCTCCTGTGGGGATTGCCAGAGTTGATCTCATCTTCCAGCTCTTGCACCTGTCAACCCCCAAAACACACACAGCCGAGTGCGACAGCACCTCTTCCCCTGCCTGTACCCACCTGGACCTCGGCTGTGCCCGGACTGGGGATGCCTCCCCTCACGGGTGCCCCTGGAGGGGCTCTCCCCGGTCACTCCCGATTCTGGAGCCCAGCACGGCTGGTGCAGCAGAGCGCCCGCCAGGTCAGCTGTTGGCTGCCTTGGTGAATTCATCAAGTCGGCTCCCAAGTCGTGAGGCTGGATAGACAAAGCTAAGCTCCGAATGCCGGCTTGTAGGATCTGGGGTGGTAGCTGCTTTGTGCTACATTTAGTAAGCAGGTGACCTTGGCGCTAAGGAGTTCTCTGTTTTGATGACACCTGGGTGTATACACGTCAGTTTTCAGTTCGAGTTAAAGAATGCTGAGTTTACTTGCTGTACAGACTTGGCTAGATGAGCACTTGGGATGGTTTGCTTGCTCTGGTTAATCAGGTTTAGTTACCTTTGTTCTGTTCATCTGATGTAAGATACAGAGCAGTAATCGTAACGAATCCTGTGGGACCTCAGGGTCAGAACGTGGCGCTGGAATGTGTAAATAGGTCGTAAAGCTTTCCTTAGTGTGTAAATCCCTAAGGCTCTTGCTGACACCCTTTGCTTTCTAAGCACTGAGTGCAGGAGAGTGTCCTGGTCACTGGGACCCCACTGACTGAGCAGGTAGTCTGGGAGTGGCAGCAGGCGCACTGCCTTGGCTCCCAAGGGTCCCTGGGGAGGCTCACTGTAATGCAGGTGCCAGAGATGGGCCTCAAGGGCGTTGCAGCGTGATTCAAGGCGACGGTTCCTTGTGAGTCCCCGGCACGTCTTGGGAATGGGGGCGCGAGCTGGTTATTTGTTAGGACCAGACTCCAGAGTGGGTGGAAAATTGGAACCATGTCCTTTTTTTATCCCCATCAGGCTCCTGGGTAGAATTACACTTTGGCAGTAATGGGAGCGGGAGCAGTGCTCCAGACTCTGTTTCTATTTATAATGGCGACATGGAGAAAATCCTGCTGGATGCCCAGCGTGAATCTGGACGGAGCAGCTCCAGGAGCTCTCACTGTGACAGGTGGGCATAAACGTGTGTATCCCAGCGCTGGCAGGCCAGGTAGGAGCAGGCACGGCTGCAAACGCCCGCCTGGCCTCAGTCCAGCCCTCCCGAGACAGCGGGCCCTTCGCCCTTAGGTGGGAGGGAGCGACTGGGGCCTGTGTTTGTGGTGCTGGGCCCCTGCTTCTGCTTGTTGACTGCGGGGCATCAGAGTTCAGCTGAGGAGGTGGAGGGACGCTTTGGCCCTGGCCTGGCCCCAGGTGCTGGCGGGAGCCTCCCGGCCCTGGAGGATGGCCCCTGCCTGTGGGGTTTTGCTTCTCCTGGTGGAAAGAAAGTTAACACATTGTGTTTTCCCCAAGCCCACCTCGCTCACAGACCCCACAAGATACTAACAGAGCTTCTGAGATAGACACACATAGTCTTGGAGAAAAGAACAGCTCCCAGGTAAGGTGTGCACGTGCACACATTTGCGATCTGTTTGTACAAAGTTCTGTGGAATCCAGCCCTCAGAAGCAGTGGAGGGGGTGGGGGGGGGAGGCACGCCCCGCACTTCACGCTGGACCGGAAGTGGCAGGGGCTTAGGTTGGGTAGGCTGTGCGGCCCGGGCGCCTCTGCCCTCACGCCGTCCAGGGAGACTCTGGGAGTGGCCAGGGGGAGGGGAGCTGGGAGCCAGGCGGTGGGTCTGTCTGCTGGGCAGTGTGTGGGTGGGAGAGAGCCTGGGGCCCTATGTGCTGCTTCTCTGGTGGCCTCGGTTGGGCCGGGGCCAGTGCGTCCTTGCCAGGTCCTTTCTGGTCGTGATGCCTGGGGAGTGTATTTTAGGAACCCGTGGGTCCCCGACTTGCTGTGAAAGCTGTCAGGAACCGTGGGCTCGGTCAGTACCACTTGGTCCCCCCCCCCCCCGCTCCCCGCCCGTGCTGGTCTCCCCTCAAGGCCTCCCTCACCGAGGAAACCAGGAGTCCCTGGTGCTCAGGCCTCCTCAGGGGCGGCGCCCGGCCTGCCCCCAGACACGTGGGGTCCACTCCAGCTTTGGTGCGCCCAGGCATTTGGTTGGTTTTGGTACCGTGTTTTAGAGTATTTCCAAAATTTGAACCAATTTTTTTCCCCCCTGATTTTAAGGAGGAACTAGATGATCAGGTACAGAGTTTTTCAAATGCAAAGAAGTAGGGAAGAACACCTAAAATCCAACTTTTAAAAGCTCTTTAATGAGTGTATTATATACTTTAAAAAATGTAGCTGCAATCAGGGGTACACGTAAGTTTTTGTTTTTTTTTCTCTCCCATTTAACATGAAAGTGTGTCTTGCTTTCATTGCCGTGCAGTATCCTGCTTGCTTAGGCACATCCCTGTTTTGGGCCATTTTAGATGGTTTCCGTTTTCATCTCTGGACGTCTGTCCTCATTTGGCATCGCTTCCTTGGGGCAGTGTCTGCAGCTCTTCGAGTCTGAGTCGGGCCTTCAGCCCGGCGATGTGTGTGGAGGAGGGAGGAGAGCCGGGGGGTGCAGCCCTCGCCTCCCCCCGTGGCTGGGCTGCGAGCTCCACCTGCCGGTCCGATGCTTGGGTGGGAGGTGAGCGTCCTGCTGCGGGTGCGGCAGGCACCATTTCGCATTCACCATTCGCTCTGCCCCAGTCTGAGGAAGACTATATGGAGAGGAGGAAAGAAGTCGAAAGCATCTTGAAGAAAAACTCAGACTGGATTTGGGATTGGTCCAGCCGGCCGGAAAACGTGCCCCCGACCAAGTGAGTCTGTTTGCACCGGGGGCCTGCCTTGGCCTGGCTGGCCCGGCACGCCTCCGCTGACCAGCACCTCTCCCCCAGGGAGTTCCTCCTCTTCAAGCGCCCGAAGCGCGCGCCCACGCTCAGCATGCGGAACACGAGCGTCATGAAGAAAGGGGGCATCTTCTCCGCGGAGTTTCTCAAAGTTTTTCTGCCGTCTCTTCTGCTGTCCCATCTGCTGGCCATCGGGTTGGGGTAAGTGACTGCCCGTGTGGATGGCACAGCGCGGGGTCCTTCTAGGTCTTAGAAGCACGGGCGACGTGGGCGTGTGAAACAGCCCGTCCCGGTCAAGAAACAGAGCCCAGGGCCGTGAGCCGGGGCGGCGCTGCCCCGAGCGTCCAGCAGCAGAGGCTGGTTTTGCGCGCAGGGGTGCTCGTCTGGCTGCTTGACCTGGACCGCTGCACGCAGGTGCGGATCAGCCTCACTCCTCGCGGGGTGGCTGCAGGGGGGCAGTGTCAGTAACTCGGGCTGCACGTGTCTGTTGGCGTCCACTCAGCAGTGAGAGAAGAGGGCGCCAGTTCTGACGACCGTGCGGAACACAGAGGGGCAGCCTGGGTCATGGAGACGCTGAGCCCAGACGGTGCTGAGGAGCCCGAAGCTGCCCTCGGGGGCTCATCCCCAGCCTCTGACCAGGCGGGCGAGGGGGGGGGTCTCCCTGGCCCTGGTGTGGACGGACGGGCTTCTGTGGCTGCGGCTTCCTGGACGTCTGGATTCTCAAGATGGCCTCCTGACGGGGGCTGGTGCCACCGCAGACTTCGTGAATGTGGCAGAGGAGACGCCAGCCCGCCTGCTCTGGGAGGCGAGAGCAGCGTTCCTCCCGACCTCCCGAACCCCAGCCCACAGTCCTGCCTGCCCGGGGAGAGGGCTCCCTGGCGGGGCCAGGCCCCCGGCCTCTCCCTCTTGGTTCTGCCTTGGCCTTCCCTCTCAGCACAGTGCTTTTCAGAGTCAGACTCTGCCAATCTCACGCGGGGAGGTGGATTTCTGGAGCTTCCTCCACAACTAGCAGTCAGATTCTGTGGGGGCCTCTGCCGGGTTGAGGTCAAGATGGATTTCTGCAGCCAGCCCCCAGCAGGGGTGTCTGCCCTTCTTACCAGCCTCCAAAGCGGTCAGGATAATAAAATCCACCCCGACCAGTTGCTCTAAGGAAGCTCCCCGTGCTGGGCTGCAGGCCTGAAGACGTCCTCCCCAGCCCCCTCTGCCCGGACAGCCCTCTGATGCCCATATGCCCCTCAGTTCTGGGCTCCTGGGGGCGTGGGCTTCACTGCTCAGCCAGGGCTCTTTGTGAGGTTGGTGCCGATAAACCTGGCGATATCACCTGTCCTGCAGGCGTGTGGTCAGTTCCAGAAAACAGTGATGGAGTACTGGCATTTCAGGTTGGGTAGAATCCTCTCCTTTGTGCTTGTATTGTGTATCCACTGCATGGCTGTTAGAGCACAACTGGATTCTTCTAAATTAGATGCTGAAATGTACACACACTGATGAAGAATAAAACCCAAGTTTTAACAGTGGGTATAAGAGAGCCAGTCCCCTTACGTAAATAAGCTGGGACCAGCGTCAGCTGCCCTGTCTCAGCTGTGCAAACTTGCCCGGGAGTTGCGAGACCACGTTAACTACCAATTCCTTTTTCTGTTAAGGATCTACATTGGAAGGCGCCTGACGACATCCACCAGCACGTTTTGATGAAGAATTGGTGTCCAGCTTTCTCACGTAGTGGGGATGTGTGTTGTCCGCAGCTCAGCGTACAGAGGAGGGTGTCTTGGTCCTTGGGTGGCTGCACCACTTGTGTCATTTCTTCTGTAAATGCCACGTTCCTAACTCAGTAAAATAAAGACTAAGACCATGCTCTCCCATAATCATACTTATGGGATAAAGTAATAAGCCTGTCATTGATTAATATCTATTAATAATTTGGTGGTAATCTTTCTTCGGATATTATAAATATTTAAGAATAATTTTAACGTATCCATGATGTATGTAGTACTTTAACACGTTATCTGCAACCTTGATTGAGTTAAACACTGTATTTTGAAAGAACGAATACCGTTGACATTAAAAGGACTACATGAGGGTTTATCCCGAATAAACACTGTGGCCTTACAACCCTGTTGTAGACCGTATGTAAGTGGATGCATCCGTCTACTACAGACGCCCCTCAGCTCTCACTGTGCTGGTGGTTCTTTGTGACGTGACGTGTAGAATCCAGGCTGCAACACGGGTGGGACAGGTCGTCCCCACACCGGCACCTTGTGCAGCACAGGGACTCTCGCTGAGACTTACGACCGCCCTGGACGGCAGCCACCGGACGATCAGTGTCTCTTATCTCGGGATTGCTAAATTCAGTCTATTTGTGTTCAGTTTTTGTGTGCTCTTAGAATCAGCTTTATTCTAAGCTATTCTGTGTCTACTTTAAAAGCCTGGAAATAGAAAAAAAATGAATCTTTGCCAAATACTTGGTTACGGTATTTACGTACGTCACACAAGCTTTTTCATTAAACCAGGTGTATCCCCACTGCATGGTTTTTAAAGGCCGCCCCTTTGATATACTGTATAAATGCTGTTGTATTTGTTTCACTTTTCCACACTAAATTCGGTTGTGTTAAATAAATGTAACATTCTAATTTTTAAAATACTTGTTTCTATTTAAACAATTACTTTGGAGGTAGAGACCTACAGCCCTTTCATTTGGAGACGGCTGATGGAATGGCATCAAGATTCTTTATGTAATTTATCCCTAAAACATTAAGCCTGCATCCCACTGACCCACTCTGGCCAAGGGGATGATTCCCTTTTAACAGCAAATGGTGGTGGTTCAAGTGTCACGAGCACCAGGCTGCACTCAGGACCTTCCAGCAAGGCCAAGCGTCCTCAGAGCCAGCACCCCTTGGGAGAGCTCTGTGAATCCATCACTCAGGTGACCCGGCCCATGATGAAGGCCTCTGTGTATTGAGATATGCAAGGCATCCCCCAGGTCTGGGGAGTTCTGAGCTATTAAGTGTAATCTCTGCCCCCCACCCCCACCCCCGGCCTCGCTCCCTTCCTTCTCTGGAGCACCAATTTTAATTTATGATTGATTCCAATAGCTGTCGTCTGATTTCTTCACTTTTTAAAATCTTAGTTCTCTCTCGTCTTCTAGCTGGATTATTACTCTATTCCTCTCCTCCACGTTATGTATCCTTCCTTCCATCTCCGCCCTGTCACTGACGCTCCCCAGGGCACAGGCTGAGCTCCGTGATGGTGGCCGGAAGTGCCTGCTGCAGCCAATCACAAGGTTTTCCCCTCTCACTGCAACATTCCAGTGGACGTTTGATTCTTTTAAAATGTGTGACTATATATGTATTTTTGTTTTGACCTTTTGGGCAAGAGGATAGCAGAATGGCGACAGCCTTTCTACACACTCCTTATGTTAATGCAAGTAACAGCATCATTCATTTTATTCACAGAATAGCAAGTTTACAGAATATTTAATATCCAGACAATTTTGGATTAAAATAACACAGATCCTGGGGGTCGAATCCATTCTCCCATAAACCAGAGCTCCTTGGAAAAGTGGGAATTCCAGGGCGGCATGAGGAACATTTGTGGTGCCACGAGGTGAAGGACATGGAGCCAACCTGAGGGACCTGCAGTGGCTCAGAGTGGGTCAGCCTGGTAACAGGTTCCTGGTGGTGATGGGCTGTCACAAGACTGGAGCAGGATCCCCAAGTCCACACTGATGGAGACCAAGTAAGTGGGGGAAGGGACAGTTCTTCCCGACAGAATCTAATTAATAAACGGGATGAGGGAACGAGTGACCGTCAGGCAGACAGCTGCTGACGTGGGCCCGGTGTCACTGCCTCCCCAGGAAATTACCGCCAAGGGAACCTAGGGTACCGTGGATCTCCTGACCCCAACATCTCTCTGTGTTCTTGCCGAGATGTGTGACTGTAGGTTAGTCATGAGAAAATATCATGCCATCCCAAATTGGGGGAGGTTCTACAGAATAACTGAGGTCAAGGTCATGAGGAAATGAGGATCTGTTACAGATTGAAAGATACGGAGTGGGCTCCCCTGGTGGTGCAGTGGGTCAGAATCCGCCTGCCACTGCAGGGGACACGGGTTCGAGCCCTGGTCCGGGAAGATCCCACATACCGCGGAACAACTAAGCCCGTGCGCCACAACTACTGAAGCCCGCGCTCCTAGAGCCCGCGCTCCGCAACAAGAGAAGCCACCGCAATGAGAAACCCGCGCGCAGCAACGAAGACCCAACACAGCCCCCCCAAAAAAAAAAAAAAAAAAAAATTCCAAGATGCGGCAATGAAATGCATCGTGGATCCCGGGCGAGAAAAAGACAACTGGGAAAACAAACACGAAGGTCTGTGGATGAGCTACAAGTACTGTGGGGTGACTTCACCCGCTTTACGTGGTGTTAATTAAACCTGGGTGATGGGTGAAGGGCAGGCAGGAACTCTACAATTTTTGCAACTGATTTAAAATTATTTCCAAATAAAATGTTACAAAAGTAAGATAAATAGACAATATCTTTTTACTCAGAGAGCATCCCTGGACCGGCAGGGAATGCCCACCCAGTCTGGCTCCTGCATCCTCGTGGTGCTGGATGTTTTCTCCCAACGGGCGGGAGATGGCCAGGACCACCGTGCGGTGGACAGAGCGAAATGCAGGTGTGGACACGTCGCTTACCTTGTGTGCAAAAACGGGGGGAGGGGAATATGTCATGTTCGTGTTTGAATAAGAAAAAGTGTGGCCCAAGACAAGACTAACAAGAGTTATCAATACCAGCAGGCTCAGCGGAAGGGGCAACACTTCGCTACCATCCTTTTAGAGCTCTGAAATTTGTACAGGTGTTACCAGTTTAATACTTAAAGTAAGAAAAAACATTTATCGAAAAGAAATAATAGTATTGGCAAGGATATGGAGAAAAGAGAACTCTCATGCACCGTTGGTGGGAATGTAAATTGGTGCAGCCACTATGGAAAAGAGGATGGAGGTTCCTCAAAAAATTAAAAGTTGAACTGGCATGTGATCCAGCAATTTCACTTCTGGGTATTTATCCAGCGAATGAAAACACTACTTTGAAAAGATACATGCACACCAATGTTCATAGCAGCACTATTTACAATTGGCAGGATATGGAAACAACCCAGGTGTCCACTGGTGGGTGTGTGGATAAAGATGTGGTACATATACAACAGAGCATCACTCAGCAATAAAAGAATGGAGTCTTGCCATTTCAGACAGTGTGGATGGACCTGAGAGTACCATGCTGTGAGTAAGTCCAAGACAAATGCCATATGATCTCACTTATATGTGGAATCTAGAAAAACAAAGCCAATCTTGCAGCTAGAGATTGGTGTTTGCCAGAGGCAGGTGTGAGTGTGTGTGTTTATGTATGTGTATTTATGTGTGTGCTTATGTGTGTTTGTGTGGGGGGGGAGGGAGAGAGAAGGGGGGGTAAAAAGGTACAAACTTCCAGTTATGAAATAAGTCCTGGAGATGTACAGCACGGTGACTATAGTTAATAACTATCACATATTTGAAAGTTGCTAGGAGAGACCTTGAAAGTTCTCATCACAAGAAAAAAAACTTCCTGTGTGGTGACAGAAGTTATCTAGACTCACTGTGGTGGTCACTTCACAACATATACAAATACTGAATCATTATGTTGTACACCTTAAACTCATATAGTTGTGTCAGTTACACCTCGAAAAAGAAAACCAAAAACAACCTAACAACATTTCTCATAAGAACTGTAGATTTACACTGCATTCAGATAATTAGATTTTAGAAAACAAATTTTCCCTGAAAGTTAGTTCTTGGAATAACAAATTAGCTTCCCATCCTTACGGAACACACATCTTTTTTTTTTTAAAATTCATTTATTTATTTTATTTTTGGCTGTGTTGGGTCCTTGTTGCTGCGCATGGGCTTTCTTTTAGTTGCGGCGAGCAGGGGCTCCTCTTCGTTGCGGTGCACGGGCTTCTCATTGCGGTGGCTTCTCGCTGCAGAGCATGGGCTCTAGGTGCGCGGGCTTCAGTAGTTGTGGTGCACGGGCTCAGTAGCTGTGCTCACGGGCTCTAGCAGGCTCAGTAGTTGTGGTACACGGACTCAGTAGTTGTGGCTCGTGGGCTCTGGAGCGCAGGCTCAGTAGCTGTGGCGCACGGACTTAGTTGCTCCGCGGCATGTGGGATCTTCCCGGACCAGGGCTCGAACCCATGACCCCTGCATTGGCAGGTGGATTCTTAACCACTGTGCCACCAGGGAAGTCCCTGGAACACACATCTTTTAAAGATGTCCCAAGATATACAAAGATAATTTACTACTAATAAACTCTGGGGCAAACAAGTGAATCACCTCAGGACACACAGTAAACCCCAAAGGAACACGGAGCAGCCTGGTGAGGATCGGCCTCCACAACCAGCACCACAGGAGCCGGGGTCCCGCCCGGAGCCCTGGCTTCGGCCAAGGTCCCGTGTCCTGCCTGGGGGGCCAGGGACCCTGTAGATGTGCTCAGGATGCAGACTCACCCGAGGTTCCGGTTGCTGGCATCACCGTCCGGAGGGTGAGCAGGGAAATGGGACCAGCAAGTCCTCTCAGTCACTCACCGGGCACTGACAGGGTCGCAGGAGATTGTGGGCCCCAGCCCCAGGCCTCACTCTTCAGATGTGGGGCAGCTGAGGGAAGCCTTCCCGGGACAGGCTCTGCGGGTCCTGGGGGGGGGCGCAGAGGCGGGGGTCAGGCTGGGCTGCGACTGTCGCCTTGGATGCTTCAGGACCCCCCAACCCCCCAGCCGGGACTCCTGTGATCTCAGCTGCCCGTTCCCCATCCCCCGTCCCACCGCCGTGACTCTGCCCCTCGCTGGGACTCAGCTGGTGGCGTGAAGGGAGGGGCTGCCGGTCGGTCGAGAGGGGTGACAGCTGAGCAGAGAGCCTGAGGTCTCCGATTCCCCCTTCCGCGTGATGTCAGGGCCGCCACGGTTCCTAAGAGATCAAGGTGGCGCTCCATCCCCCGGCTCACCAGCTCTCCACCAAGGGCTCGGGTAGGACACGGACCCCGGTGACGCCGCGCTGTGGCGTGTCCGTCCGGCGAGCACCGCTGGGTTGGTTCTGGGGAGCCCATGCCGGGTGCCTGCCCGCGGCCCACCCGGTACAGGAGGGCTGTCACCAGCCCCGTGGGCTGCACCGGTCAGGCCCCACCCGACCCCCCGCTGTCCCCGCCCTAACCACACCCCCGTGGAGAAGCCCTGGCGGGGTGGGCCCCGTGTGGCATCCCCTCCCTCCCTCTCTGGTCCCCCCAGCGCCTGTGGAAGCTTCTCCCGGCACAGCACCCAGGGGGCAGTTCCTGATGGGAGGACTGTCCCCCGCCGCCCCATCATGACCCCGGGGCAGCACCGGGTCTCAGACCCGGACTTGGCGCGCGGAGCGCCGTCCTCCCCACGAGGGGCGCAGCGCGGCCCGCCCCGGCTCGGTCTGCGCACCCGCCTCTGCCCGCGGGCAACAGACACGCTCAGAAGAAAAAGCCTCAGCGCCAATCCTGGACCCCCTTCGACAAAAGCGTGCAGACAGTTCCTCCTCAGACGGCCACGCAGCACCAGAGCCCTGGGCTCGGCCCGCGGGGCCTGGGCCCCACCGCGCTGACCAGGGGACAGTCTGGGCCGGCTCCCAGCTGTGAGGCCATGGCTACTCAGCTCCACGGGGGAGGGAGTTTGCTGCTCGTCCTGCGAACGCCCACGACTGGGGGGACGGTTTAAAATCAGACTCTGAGTCCTGTCCTGTACTGGCTTCTAGAACCGCCACTGTTCTTTAAAAAGTGCACGTCTAAATCCACACACGAGTAAAGCGTATTCATCCAACCCGGGCCATCAACCGAGACAGCGTTAAAGCTTCAGGACAAGCAGGAGCACAGAATTCTAAGGAACGATGAAAACTCACAGGATTACCTTTCAGGAACAGATAGAATTTCTCTAGCTCTCTCTAGCTTTAAACGGGAGAAAAGGGGTAAGCTTTGTAAGAACAAAAAACAACAGATATTTTTAAAACAAGGAATATAAAAGAAATAAACGTCAAGTCTGAAACCCATAGGATTTTCACCTCCTCAGGAGGGGAAAAAGGCTTAAATGGAATCAGAAGTGTCTAGCGGAAAAGAACACGGAAGAAATTGCTAGACACCTCTTAAATTACACGTTTCTCAAGAGCATCTCTGAGAAGCGTGTGCCTGACTCGGGGGAGAAGAACCCACAGACGCAGGGACCCCCGCCCGGCCGGTGGCAGCCACCACGCATGCGCCTTCTGCCCGGGGCCGTCTGAGAGGCAGAAGGCTGGTTTCCTGTTTGGTAGGAAATACGTCTTAAAGATGGAAAAACGTCGTAAAAAAATCTGGTAAAACGTCTGAAATTTATTAAACCTTTTGGTCAAAATAGTTGAACAAGTAAATACAGCCCCATCTTACTAGAACTGCTTTACCTTAAGGGCCAGGGCTGACTGATACTTGGACAACTCTGTTCCACATCTCAGGTTTGTGAACTGCGTCAACCAATATGCAGTAATAGAATTACCTTTAAATTAAAATAAATGGACTTGTTGATTCTCTATTTCCGACATAATGTGAGCTAACGTGGCATCCTGTTAACATTAATTCAGGGGAATGAGTTGACAAGACATTTGTTCTTGCACCTCCATATCACCAGTAACCAAAATACACCTTAATTTCAAGAGCAGCACGTGAGCCCCAGCTGTCCCGTCCCCTGGAGGACTGGGTCTCGGGCTCCTGTGTGAAATTTCACGGCAGCAAGCTCCAATCACTTAGTGTTGTTACCTCTGTATTTTTTTGTCTTGGGAAATCTTGATTTCTGTTATCAACCTTTTAAAGTAAACCACCAAGGTACTGGTGGCATTACATAATAATTAAAATTGTTTAATTTTTGCTGGCTTGAAATGCAGTGAAATTCGTCATGCATATAATTCCAGCAGTTTTTAGAAGCCTGTTACCCTCTTCCCACGAAGTACTGTTACGAAGCTTTAAAAAGCACGTAAGTGTTCAACTGCAGTGAATTTGAGGCATACTTTAAACCACGTGTTACTTTTTCAGCAGCGATTCTGTTACTACTCCTTGGGATTTTCTTTCTCAGAGGCAGCTGCAGGTAAGGCTCTTTCCAGACCTTACCTGGTGTGTCAGATGTACCATTTCTACAGAAACAAAAAAGTTATGGAAGTTTGTGGATACATACGTTCAGAGTTTGAAGTACTGCACACGTTCCACCATTCTGTTAACGAAGGACAAAAGATTTTTAAAGTTGAATTCTGCATAATTTCATTATATGCAATTAAATCAAATAAAAAGACGATACTGATTTTGGACTTAAAAACACTTTTTAGAGTGCGTTGCTTTTATTAGGCGGTTACACCAGAGGCGCGATGGGAGTAAAGCGGCCTGAGCCCGCTCGGCCGAATCTCCGCGCCGGCCGAGGCCCCGCCTGGGCTGAGAGAGGCTGAGGGAAGGCGGGCAGCAGCCACGCACGTGGAGGCCCCAGGATGACAGCAGAGGAGGAGGAGAGCTCGACAGGAGCAGACACTGAATCTGACAGCTTTCCTCTTGGATGTTAACTTTTGGTCTATAAATTGGAAGGAAGGCTCAGACTTCAATAAATATGTTCGTTTTAGCAATGGCCTCTTCTGAGTCCTGTCCATCACTCTGCTTCGAGCGGGCTTCTCACCTGAGCAGCGACACCCAGGGCTCACCTTGCTGAAGCAGAAGCCCGCGGGCACCTGCGCGGCCAGCCCGTGCAGTCTGGGCGGAGGCAGGAGGGCGTCCCTGCTCTTCACGGAGAGGATGTCGCCTGTCCTCTGGCACCAAACGAGCAGGCGCGATTCTGCACGAGATGCAGGTCCCGCTGCCTCCTTAGTTGGCCTTGTCCTGAAATATGTACAGGTTATTGGTGGCAGCCACGGCAATGATGTTCTCCACTGGGTGCCAGGCTGTGTGCAGAATCTTCTTGCTGAAGTCCAGGCTGTCCACGCTCACCTCGTCCTTCTTTCTCTTCCCACCTGCACAGACTCTGCGAGGCTTCAAGCTGGCGCGAGGCTTGCTGTTCTCCCTGGAAGCTTCCAGCGTAACATCCCTCCATGTAGTCCTATCGAACATTCTGAAGAAGTTGTTGTAGGACCCAGTCATGATTGCACTGCTCAAAACAAGGACAGGAAGACTTCTAAGTGACCACCTCCAACCCCCAGCCCGGCCCGGCCCTGGACGCATGGATAGAGCTGCTTACCTCTCCTACCCCCAATTCTACACAGCAGGGTCATTTTTACAAATAAAAAATGAAAAATCATAATGGTCAGGAGAGAGACGCAGTGAGAATTTCTTCCTAAACTTCGTATACATAATCCTATCAGTAAAGATAAATACAACGGAAAAAAGTAATGGATTTACACTTTTAATTACATTAATGTGTTTTCAAACAAGGTAAAAACCCCAACACAGTCACTGCCCCAGGCTCGGGTAACGGTCTGACCTCCTGCACTTTGCCCCGATTCGGCAGGGCTCCGCACGTGCTCGAGAGACATTCGTGAGATCTGTTACCATCTTTGCTCACGACTGACCAGACAAGGTTTTAAAGTTCATTTTAATCTTAAAGGCGTTTTTCTCGTGAAGGAACAGGTATATAAATAGTTAGGAGGGGCCTCAGACACGGGGTCAGCGTGCAAGGCAGCCGGGGCCTTCTTTCCCGACACTCCAGATGCTGCAGCAGCGCCCGTGGTCTTTTCCCTTCCGGGCTGGTTCTGACGCCTTTCCGCGTCTCCACTGAAGCACACAGCACCGTGACGCGCTTCTATCACACTGGTGAAAACTTCGGGTCTCTACACAGCTAAGAGGAGAGTGGCTGGTTGCCGGCAAATGCTTCCACGTGCGTCCAGCCCCTGCCTCAGCGGGCCCGTCGGGCGCAGTAAGACCAGACTGCCCTGCGGCCTCCTCCTTGGCACCCTGGGCTCCCGGGCCATCCCCGCATCATCAAGGGCGGATCTTGAGGCCCCGCGAGGCACGTGCTGCCTCATTCACACGGCGCAGGGCTGACCCCGACTGTGCAAACCCTTCGGTGTCTGATTAGCCTCATCTAAAACCTCGCACCACAAAAGAAGATAAGCCCTCCTGGCTTATCTCCCCTGTACTGTTGAAGCCTGGAATGCACACACCTCGGGGACGGAGGGCCGTGTGGCGGTGGACGCAGCAGGGCCATGCAGTGGGGCCCAGGAGGGCCGCCAGCAACTGCCACTTGCCCACTTTAATTTCCACACAGAACACGATGCTCACAAAAGGATAAGCAACAAACGTGCTGATCTGAAGCTTACATTTGTGTTATTAAACTTAACCGCAGGGACTTCCCTGGTGGCGCAGTGGTTGGGAGTCCACCTGCCAAGGCAGGGGACACGGGTTCGAGCCCTGGTCCAGGAAGATCCCACACGCCGCGGAGCAACTAAGCCCGTGCACCACAACTACTGAAGCCCGCGCTCTAGAGCCCGCAAGCCTGCGCCTCAGAGCCCGTGCGCCACAACTACTGAAGCCCGCGTGCCTAGAGCCCGTGCTCTGCAACAAGAGAAGCCACCGCAATGAGAAGCCCGTGCACCGCAAGGAAGAGTAGCCCCTGCTCACTGCAACTAGAAAGCCCGCGCGCAGTGACAAAGACCCAACACAGCCAAAAATAAGTAAATAAATTAAAAATATATATGTAAAAACTTAACTGCAGTGATTATTCCGAACAGAGACCAATGAAAGAATTTTTTCGGGAAGGAGTATTTTATCATCAATGTTGATTAGAGGTGCTGGTGCGCGACAGAAATGAAAGCGGACCAACCTTCACGCCGTCTATGACGGTTATTACTATTACTCAGCAGGCCTGACGGCACCTGCGTGGGCCTGGATGTCCCCCGGGCCCGCTGCTCCACACGGCAGGAATGAGAGCCTTCCCCAGCACCTGGCCAGGTGTGCCTAGGCGGGAACACCGCCAAACACAGGAGTAAGTGGACTTGCAACTTAATGGTGATGTCTGTGTTTGCTACAAACCTGGAGCACGATGAAGTGGGGCAAAACTTAACTTCTGGGCAGCGCCGTCCCAGGCGGAGTGACTGGGATGGTGGCAAAAACCTGGCTCTGCCCCCGCCCCCAACTCCACACAAGCTTCCAGGCAGGAAGGCAGGGCATGTTGGCAGGAGTGAGGGAACAGGTAGGCGCCACCAGAAAGCTTCAGGATGTGCCGGGGATGGGTAATTTAAACGTATTTTGCAATATCTCGGATCTACCGCGAAGCACAAAGAACCGTGCAGGGAACATTCCTATACATGGTTGTCCTTTGAACAGTTACACGGTCTTAAAAACAAAACCGTCTTGCATGCTCTAGACATCAGATGAGTCACTTGTGTGATCGCGTACAGGTCTGCACAGCTGTAACCCTGGCTTTCACTGTGTCTGGTCCACACCACGAACAGAGGAGGATTCCTCGTCCGTCCGCCCGCCCAGGGAGGAACCCCGACATGGCTCAGCTGCCTCCAGGGCACGTCTTGGAACGTGTTTTCTTTCTTGTCTGTATATTCGAGAGGTGCCCAGCCCACCCGGCCACCGCCAGGGAGCCTCAGAAGAAGGGCAGTGGCAGTGGTCATGCCCACTGGCCTCCACCTCCACCCCAACATTTCCGTCACTCTGATGGATGTGAAGGGACGTCCCTGTTGCTTTGATCTGCTGATTACTAATGAGGATGTGCTGTTATTCATTCCCCCGTTTCTGTTAATTCCCATTCATGAGTAGTTAGGACTTTCTCACTGACTTACGATTCTTCACGTATTCTGGATATTCATCCCTTTGTTAATTTTACGTGCTTTTGTGGGTTTTATTTCCATTGTTTTATTGTGATATAAAGAAGCTTGAAGTCAATGTAGTTGGATCTCTTTGTCTGGGTTTGGGGCCTTGTTTAAGGCACATTCCTGCATGATCACTTATCTCTGGACACAATTTCAGGAAGCGAGTCAGAAGGGATCACGACACGCCGCATCAGAGCGCCTTCCGGCTTCCACTGCCGGGCCGAGAGGTCTGCTCGCGGTCTGAACACCCTTTCTCCGAAGGCAATGGGTCTTTTCTCCCCTGGCTGCTTTTAAGATCTTTTCTTTGTTTTTGGTGCCCTGTAACTTCATTATGATCTGGATGTGGATTTCTGTGCTTCTTGAATCTGTGTATTCATTCAGTCTTGCATCAGTTATAGAAAATTCCTGGCCATTAACACTTTAACTGCTACTTCTCCACAATCCTCCAATTTGGACACTTCTCTCCACTTAGGTTACGTTGGACCTTATCTGACCCTCCGTGTTTTCCAACCTTCCATGTTTTTTCTGTCTCTTTGGCTCTCTGAGCTGCATCCTGGATAATCTCTCCTGATCTTTCTTCTTAAAATATTTCTCATCTTCAGTTCACTAATTCAAGATCTTTTCAGCTTCACGGGGTCTGCTAAATTCACACAGTGATTTTTCAACTACTACAGTTTTCATTTCTAGAAGTCCTGCATGATGCTTGTGCAGATGTCCTGGGTGGTTTTTAATGGCCTTGTGCTTCCACGTTCAGGTTCCGGTTCCGTCCTTTAACCTGTGAGTATTTCCACATTCTCATTTCATATCCTGTGGCATATGATCTCAGTAACTGATTTCTCAGAGGTCACAGTTCTGTGGTTGTTTCTGCTGGCTTGCTCACACTGGCTTTCCTTCATGTGTTTGGTGCTTTTCACCTGTGAGCTCCTGTTTAAGTGATTTTAATCTCGGGAAATCCTGAGCCCTGGAGCACTGGGAAAGACAAATCCGCCACGGGTGCCAGGCACCCCTACGTGTTTTCAGTGGGTTTGCCAAGAATGCGTTTCTTCAGCGCTCTCTACCTGGGCCACATCTCAGGGCTGCAGCCTTGTTTACCACTCTCAGCTTGACCCCCAAGCTGAGTGTGTGCTGGTGTGAGGCCAACCCCGCTCCGTGAGCGGCCTCTGCCCGGGCCCCCTGTGTCACCGCCCCCCCCAAGGCACTGTGACCAAGCTCGTGCTGCTCTGCTGTGCTGTGAGGAATGAAGTCCTCTCCTCTGACCCAGGGGCCCCGTGTCTGCAGCAGGAGACACTAACAGGTGGCACGTCAGCCTGTGAACAGTGCGGATGCCCGGGGCTGCCTGTCTGCTGGGACTTACCCTCAGTGAGCTTCTCCAGGTCAGTACAAATACAAACACACGCCCCTGGCGGGGAGGGAGGCTTACGGTCACAAAGGTCAGGGGACTTCATCCACTCCAATCCAAGGTCTCAGACAGATACATTTCCCTTGGGACGCATCTGAACGTAGATGGATCCCTTTTCCATAACCCCAAGGGTCCCAGTTTCAACTGCCAACCCTGTGTGGGTCCAGGGCCACAGCTCTTGTACCCTCCTGGGCTGCAGGTTCCTGGTTCCAGCTGGTGCCCTGAGGCCAGCGAGGGCTCCCTCCTAGTTCCTGCTTCCTCTTCACTCCTGGCCTTACTGGTTGTGAGCTCAACTATACTCACAAAGAGATTTGTGGTGTGACATCTGATGTTTCTAGGTGTTTGTGCCAAAGGGTTTCTCAGAATGTCCGTCAGTCCCTCTCTGAAAGTGGCGAGGTCCTCTGCTCACTGACACCCTTGACAAGCAGCACACGGCACAGAATCCATCACAGACGATGCAAGCTCATCTCCTTCCATCACGTGAGGTGCGACATTTCGTAGAATATGAAACAGACCTCTCGGCAGCACTAGTACTGCTGTCACCTCTAAGACACGCACAAAAAGGTGGCGGAGGCCTCAAACCGCCTCATCACGAGGTAGACCACGGAGTCACACCAGCCACCCCCACTCTGTCCAAGCACAGCAGCGACTCTGAGGTCTCGTCCTCCACTTGTCCCCAAAGGCAAACTGGAACGTGGCCATCCCACACACGCCACAGTAACTAACCTCCCCACCGCCTTCCTTTCACTCATCTTGGAAATAACAACAAAAAAAGAAATTATCATCCACTAAGCGTTTTAAAAACAGCCAACATGAACCTTGTACTACGCTTGCTGTCTAAATACAAGGTGGAATCATAAGCAAGGTGAGAAGTGTGCCCAGACATCCCATGTTTCCACCTTGCTAGGGCCACCTCACAGATGGCCTGGAAAACCAAGCCCATCGGGACTCCTCCTGGCAGCCCGGCCCGCCTCTGAGGACATCAGCGTGCTTCGGGCCTGGTCACGACGCAGGTCTCACCTGTCGGAGCCGTTCCAGCAGCACTCAAACTTGTCAAAGATGCAGTCATTTTCGTACAGGGAACACAGCTTGCTTCGAAGGTACTCGTGGACCTTAATGAAAGTACAGGAAGGTCAGAGGGACGGCTGCGTGCAAGACGTGGCAGGGTCCATGCCGCGGCCTCACCTGGTGGGTCTCGACAGGCCGGCTCTCCATGTTGAGGTCCCACACCTTCACCGACAGGTAGTCTCGGGTCATCATGTACCGACCGCTGTGGCTGAATTTCACGTCGGACACAGAAGAGATTATTTCAGAGAAGAAGGACCTACTGCTGGGGTCTTCCGGCTCTTCAAAAACTGGAAAATACAATGTTTTCAGCTTCTGTTTAAAAACCAGAGAACAAATCATTTTAAAGTCCAAGCGAGACTCGGGCCCTCCCCCGACACCGCTGCGGCCTCCCATCTTCCTGAAGCACAGGCCCCAGGCTCACCCAGGCCCCGGCTTGCAACCCAGAACGCTGCTCGGGCACTCTGAGTGCATCCTGGTGAGGCCTCTGCATTAACCTGATGCTTCCCTGCAGATCCTCGGAATGCCAGTCCCTAGCAAACCACGTCCCATCCTGTCCCTGGCACAGAAAGACACAAAGGACGCTACAGCAGATGCCGACATGGTGCCCCGAGCGCCCTGGGGCCGACGAGCCTGCGAGTGCACTGCAGGGCCCGGCCCTTAGTCGCGAACGCCTGGGTCAGATTTTAACACCGGAACAGTCCCATCTGCCAAAGCCTGTCAGGAAAGGGGTTTTCCTTCACTATTCAATAGTCGAGACTTACGCTAACAAAACCAAACCACTAGTTTCAGAAAGATTCTACAGGCTTCCGTGGCAGACCTTTCTTTCCCTGACACTTTTGCTTTCTCAGCAGTAACTCGAGTGCCCCCTCACTCACCCCTGCCCACGCGCCAGACGCCAGAGCCCCGGTGCACTGCCGAGCCTGTGGCTTGGTGAACTCTGGCTGAGGATTTCTGTCCTTCCCTTCGTTTGCAGCGGCTTGTGATTTTCTTTGTTTTCCTTTTTTGTTTTTTTCTCTTTTTTTCCGGTACGCGGGCCTCTCACTGCCGTGGCCTCTCCCGTTGCGGAGCACAGGCTCCGGACGCGCAGGCTCAGCGGCCACGGCTCACGGGCCCAGCCGCTCCCCGGCATGTGGGATCCTCCCGGACCGGGGCACGAATCCACGTCCCCTGCATCGGCAGGCGGACTCTCAACCACTGTGCCACCAGGGAAGCCCTGATTTTCTTTTTTTTAACGTAGGAACCTATGTTTGTTGAGTCTGCATTTGAAGTTGATTATAAGCAAGCTGGTGGCAATACTCTGAGCATTTACTCAAATAAGTAACTTTGCTGACAAATAAAACTACTCTTGGAATCTAAAATTGTTACTCACGAGTGTTCTCTTGAAAACACAGGCCAAACATTAGAAAAGACTCATTTTTCATTGCAGGAATTCTACTAAAGTACAAAGTTCTTTTAAAACACACTATAGGGGCTTCCCTGGTGGTGCAGTGGTTGAGAATCCGCCTGCCAATGCAGGGGACATGGGTTTGAGCCCTGGTCCAGGAAGATCCCACATGCTGCGGAGCAACTAGGCCTGTGCGCCACAACTGCTGAGCCTGTGCTCTAGAGCCCACGTGCTGCAACGACTGAAGTCTGCGGGCCTAGAGCCCGTGCTCCGCAACAGGAGAAGCCACCGCCGTGAGAGGCCTGCACACACAACGGAGAGTGGCCCCTGCTCGCCGCAACTAAAGAAGGCCTGGAAGCAGCAATGAAGACCCAACACAGCCAAAAATAAATAATTAAAATAAATAAATTTATTTAAAAAACTCCAAAAAACAAAAAAACACACTACAGTGGACTTCCCTGGCAGGCCAGTGGTTAAGACTCTGTGCTTCCACTGCAAGGGGCACGGGTTCGATCCTGGACTGGGGAAGACCCCACATACCACGCAGTGTGGCCAAAAGAAAAAAAAAAAAGAAAACCACAAACCCCAAAAACCAAAAATTAAAACCGAAAGAAAACCCCCCTCCCCCTATACTTTAGCCTCAAAAAGAGACAGAATGAGGCAAAAAGGCTCCTAAGAACCAGTCATCAAGGACACTTCCCATCAGGCTCTGTTGGAGCTGCCCCACTTTACGACAGGAGACACTCTGGACAGACTGACCGATACACTGACTTAGCTGCAGGACCAAGTGTCCAGAACACGAAAACCCATGGCGCTCCAGGCTGGGATGGCGTCACTGCTCAGTACTTGGGAACGTGTTGGCAAAGTTCTCAGGACACACTCTGTATGTCTTGTGACACACAGACTTCTGGTTTTCTACAAAGTAGGGCCTGTTGGTTATGGCTAAAAATAAAAACAAAACCAAAGCTCTCCTCACCTAGAAGGACTTCAAGACTCAGTGGATTAAAGACTAGACCTTCACCTCAGGGAACTGCCTTCAAGTTCAGCGAAGCTCTGTGGGAACAGAGCCCATTCCGAGAGCCGAGAAAGGTCACAGGTGGACTGCGTCTCCAGACTCAGCAGAGGTCCTAGTGCACAGAGGTGGAGGCGACAAGGGGCTCTCACTGGGCCCCCCCAGGGAGGTGGACGCCGCATGGAAGTGCTGGCAGGAGTGACCTGCGGGCTCCACCGCGGCGCCACAAAAGCAGGGCCTCTCGCTCCGCACCCTGCCAGCAGCGCTGCGAGGACCAAGGCCGGCCTATGCTCGCGCAGGCACACGCGTAACAAAAAGCACCTGTAAGTCTTCGGAGGTGGCTCAGCGCCCAGACAACACGGGCTCTAGACGGGACGTTTATATACACGCCCGGCACTTACACTTGGAGTGTCGGTCGCACAGGGCGGAGGAGCGCATGTCGCACAGTCTGATGGTCCCCTTGCTGCTGCTGTAGACGAGCACGTTACACTGGTGCGGGTGGAACTCGGCCGCTGTGATCACCTCCGTCAGCTCTTCCATGTTGGCAGGCTTGATGTCCACGATGTCTGAAGCGCACAGTTAAGGCAGGGCGCTCGCAGGCATGAGATAACCCACGTGACGAGGTTTAAGAGATTAGGTGTGGAGGAGGCGATTACACGTACTTTATGCCGGATGAGCGCACCAGTAAGAGGATCTACGTTAATACACTAATCAGGCTCCAGTAGCGTGCCTGACAGGGGCCACAGCCATGCAGATACGAGGGCTGCTCTCATCTCGCTGCTACTGCTAGCATTCTAGGAAGGGACTTTCAAAGCAACATAACACACATTAAAAGATAAGGAAGCAAGCAAGTGCCCATCTGCACAAAAGTCCCATAGTAACATCCACAAAAATGACACAGACACACGAGTATTGCCAGGTTCCAAAAGATTCTGCTTTGCTAAGTATCTGACACCAAGAACTTGCTCTAAGTAGCCAGAACAACGTCACATGGTAGGTTGCCAAATACAGAAATCACTCAACTGGAGAAACAAGGAAGTGTACAATTTGGCTTTGGGCCAAGATAGGATAGCAGGAACAGATCACAACTAAGGAAGCTAAAAAATTTGGTGACACTACAGCTCAAGTCTCCAGACACCAGACACCGTGGGCAGGGACCCTGGAGGGACTGGAGCCCTACAGTGCCCAGCACGCCGTCCTGGCTGTCTCCAGGCCACCGTGCAGAGCGGGGACCAGGCTGAGCCCGCTGACCGCCTGGAGTCCGGGGAAGCACACGAGGCACGCAGGGCCGAGTGCCGGAGAAGAGTGGCCAACAGGCTATGCCTAGGTTGCTGACCTGAGAACAGGTCAGCAAAGGCCTGTGAGGACACTGCCCAGCCGGGGAAGGAGCCACGCCCAGAGATGAGAGAACGGCACCCCAGCTCATGCGAGAGCTCGCCAAAGAGCAAAGCTGGGCTGAAAGTGAAGTGGGAGGGGAGGGGCCACGAGGGCACCAACTAACTGGGCCCTGTGAGTGGATCCAAGGTGTTTTTAAAGTGCTAACAGATAGGGGCTGCCCTGGTGGCGCAGTGGTTAAGAATCCGCCTGCCAACGCAGGGGACGTCCCACAGGTTTGAGCCCTGGTCCAGGAAGATCCCACACGCCGTGGTGCAACTAAGCCCGTGCGCCATGACTACTGAGTCTGCGCTCCAGAGCCCACGAGCCACAGCTACTGAAGCCCGCGTGCCTTGAGCCCGTGCTCCGCAACGAGAAGACACCGCACCGCAACGAAGAGTAGCCCCCGCTTGCCCCAACTAGAGAAAGCCCCTGTGCAGCAACGGAGACCCAACGCAGCAAAAAATAAAAAAAAAAACAAACCAAAAAAACATTATATATATATGTATGTATATAAAAGTGCTAACAGCAGAAAGCACATGCCTGTTTCTGTGCTGTATGATCTCAGTTGCAATGAAGGGCATTTGAAGTATGACGGTGGGACAAAATCTTTAAGAAAACCATGAAAGAAACGACTGCATAAATGAACCCTTCATGAATTAGAGTCCTCACAAATCATTGAGAGAAAATGTGAGCTTCTGACAAAGGACAGACTCTGAGACAAAGGGGTGTAATGAAGATGAGATGACCTATCCAAGAACGATCCTATAAAAATGCTGCGATATCCGCCTGATGAAGGATACTAAAACTTCTGTCTGTGATTTCTAAATGCCATAGATTAATTCTCAGGTCATCTGCAGAAAGATATGTTTCATGATCACTATTTACTGAAATGGAATTTATATGATATGTGTGAGCATTTGCAAAAATTCGTCGTGGACTTGCTTCTACCATAAGGTCCATGGGCTTCAATATTGGGACCTAAAAATGGAAGGAAATAGGAATTGAAAACAAAGATCCCAGCAGCATAAAATCAGAACACTCACAGTAGGCAACAAAAAGGAACAAACGTGTGCGCACAGTTAAGTAACAGCACGTACAGACAATACCCCAAATAAGCAGTAGCTTCTGGCTGCTCGTTAAGCAGATGGCCCCTGACACTGATGCCTGATGTGGGGCCCGAGTCGAGCCCCCCTTCCTCCTCTGGCCTTGCAGCCGCGGCCTCCAGAGTGAGAGCAGGCGCATCTCCTCGTCCCCCCACGCCCCCCGCGCCCTGCAACAGGGCTGGGCAGGTGGGGTGCAGGGACTGGGCGGGGGGAGCATGCCTCTCCTGACCTGGTGCCCGCGACGCGGTACGTCCAGCCTGCAGACGGCAGCGGAGCTGCTCACTTAGATGGCAGAGGCATGCTGGGTACGTACGTTATACTTCAATAAAAGGTTTTTTAAAAAAGGCACAGAAACCCCGACCGTGATGAGTGCTGTGGCCAGGAAGGCTCCCAGGGAAGGGGACGTCCACACAGAAAGGGAAAGGGAGGAGAGGTCAGCCGGGCGAAGGACGAGAGGGAGGAGCCGGCACAAGAGTGGCCAAAGCCAAAGGCACAGTCATGGGTGACGGTGTCACACGTGCGAAAAAAAGGAAAAAGGCCCAGCATCACTGACATCTAGTGGGGAGGAAAACAGAAGCTTTAAAATCAAAATAGAAAACTAAAGTGTGCTATTTTTTAAATTAAAAACCCAAGGAGTGTACCTAGAAAGGGTAGGAGAGAATCTCTTAATTGAGTTTTCTCCAGCCAAAATGCTGTAAAAATGAACTTGGGGAAACATGTATAAAAATACTCCCCTCATTTTAAACCAGCCAAGTGCTGAGCACACGCTTCCCTCCTCTTGTGCAGGAGCTGTTGGTTCCACAAGGGACAGGACAGACCTGTCATGCCCTCTAACAAGTCTCTAATTAATCAAAACACGAAACAACTGTAATATGGATGACAGAAAGAGCCCCTTTCTGACACCCAAATAATTTAAGAGGAGAACAAAATTTCTGTTCCCCTTTCAAAATTTTGTTTTCCTCTTAAAGTTCAAAGGAGTCCATGAACTCACAAAGGTAAATCCACATACAGAGTGACCTGGCCTGCGATCTCTCCCCCGCCGCAGCCCACCCTGCAACTGTGATGACCTCACACCTGTCACATGCTTCGCCATGGCCCTGGACGAGACCAGCTTGGTTAGGCTAACTGTAGAACAGCAGCCTTGACCAGAGTGAAGACTGGGCCTCAGAAGCCCTTACAGACTTCCCACAGCTGGGACGGATGTGAGCATCACGGTGGAGAAGCAGGCCTGGCTGGGAGGCAGGGGGCTCCCTGGAGAGGGGGAGCGTGCCGGGCCGGGTGCAGGGGAGAGGCGGCCGAGACAGGGGATTCAGGTGCACCCACAGGGCACCCCAGGCCTCATCCTTCCAGCGCACTTAGTTTCCAAGGAGCAGTTTACATGGTGGTAACTGTAAAACTAGTGTTACTGTCACCAACAGTGATTTGCCTACAAACTGTCGCTAATTCACGGGTGGGAAAGCAGCAGCATGGCACAGGGAAACCACCATTTGGATCAGAACATCTTGGTTCAAAGTAGGGTTTAGATTTGAGCAAATTACAGCTTTCTTGGCCTCAACTCCCTGGAAACAGGGCAATACCACTGACCTACAAGTTCCCACCCCGCCCTTCTCCTTGGCAGTGCTTACCTGTTACACCCACTGTGCTCCTGTCGGGAGCACCCCTGCACGCTGGGCTGCGACTCCGTGCTGCGCGCCTGCTGCCCCAGCACCTGCGTGCGCGCGGCCAGCAGAGCACGGGGAAAGAGACCGAAACCCACCACACGCACCCTGGCCGGGGCCCTGCGGGGCGTGGGATGGGGAGCTTCCTGCAATTCCGTGCCCTCCTCTGTAGCTCCTCAGCTACCAATACAATGTGTCCACCCACTAGGTCTTCACCTGATAGATCGCACTTCCACAAAGGTTTTAAACCTCTCTGGAAAACCAACCAACTGGCCAACAGCTTTCTAATGAGCCAGGCGGTCGGTTCGGGGAGCGCCTCGAAGTCACCGCTGGTCTCCGCTGTGGCCCGGCCCGTCGGCAGCACCCTGGGGCCCTAACCAGGGCGCATCTGGGCAGGATTCAAGCTTGTTTAATCTCCTTCTCATACTCCATTTAATTAAAGGCACCACCCCAGGGCACTAGATTTTAAGTTGTACTCAATTTCGTAGATGTTAAAATGTGAAAAAAATCAAGGTATTAGAATTGATAAAACACAGTCATTTCATACCGTACCTAGGGGCACCAAAGAGGGAGTGAAGAATTTATTTAAAAAAAAAAGAAAAAGAAGAAGTAATGCTGCTCATGGATTGATGAGCAAAGAATTCTGGTCAGAATCTGCCTTAGCTAACTCAGAGGAAATCCAGTGAAGGCCATCCTGCTGGTCCACAGGTCATCTCTCAATCTGCAACCCACGCTGCTTCCTCCAGGGAAGTGTGCTGAGTCGCATCTGCTCCAACCCCACCAATGTGCTACTCTGAACCTTCAGAGTGAAAGGCAGTGGATGTATTTAGAAAGATTTGTTATGGAATTAAACCAGAGTCTTTTCTTTAGTAGTAGTATATTTTCTGAAGATGCGTGACCTTTTTGTCTTCGTGAGAACACAAGGACTCCCATTTTAACAAGTATACATGAAAATGATTACGAACAACTTTCAAGATCAAGAAGACAGACCCCACAGTATTTCTATGTAACAGCATTCTCTAAACAGCTGACTTAAGCATCATTACTGATTAATTCATGACAAGTATTGGCTAGTTGAAGAAAATGTGACGTATACCCGTAGTGCCGTGATTCTAAGTGGATCTCGAAGTCGTCCATCTTCATCTTTTAAGTTATAGCCTTCTGCTCTTTTATCCCGTTCACTTATTTTCCATAATTTAATAGTTTTATCTGAAAATAAAAACCTCATTCTCCATATTAAAAGAAAAACCATATATCATGCACCACTATTAGTTGAGTATCGTACAAGAAAACTCTGTGGTTCTATGCTGGTTTAGAAGCTAGGAGTATTTGAACATTAGTACTTCCAGTTGTATATGAACATTTTGTTTCCTACAATAAGTAAAGATGTAGAAACGTCTGCAGAGTTGAGAAACGTAATACTGCCAGTGTGTGTGTGTTTGCGTACTTTGAGTTTTCAACCTGAGTTTTCTTCCTGCCTACCTAATGCTTTACCCTCCCCGAAAGTTTAAAGCAGAGATAACCTCCAGAAGGGCTAAAATCAAAAAGAATCTACGCACAGAAAATTAAAAACCCAGCCTTAACTCAAAGGGCCGCATAGGGAGAAAAGCTCTTACCGTTTGTAGAGAGCAGAAAACGAGCAGCGCCCTGTTGTGGTAGCCACCTAATCTTATTAATTTTTTCTTCAATTTCTAGACTCTTCAAATAGTCAAACTCTGGTTCGTGACTTTGAAAGGTACTGTAAACGTTATATTCCCCCCTGGAATGAGGGCGGCTTTTATTCTGCAAGGAAACATGAAGCCATTTTAATGAACAAAGCACAGTGCAGAGAAACTTCAGTTCTCCCAATTTGAATATCAAATGACCACACACATTTTTAGAAGTTAATAAAAATCCTGGGTCAAAAAAATGTCGAACAGATGATGCTCAGAATTACTTTACTTGGAAGAAACAAATAAGAGAGCCGACTCCGCAGCTTCCTCTTGCACTTCCGGGCATCCGCTCGAGGGCAGGGTGTGGAGTCGAGCTTCCCTGCCAGTACGCTGGCTCTGGCCCGCCTCTGCGCTACCGGGGCAGCTCCGAGAGAGGCTGAAGGGCCCACAGAGGCGGCAGCGGTTGCCATCTGGCCCCGTGGAGAGTCAGCTGGGCCGGCCCAAGCCCTCCAGGGCTGAGCCACGGGGACGCACACTTCCCCGTCACCTGGGACAGCCAGCCAGCACACAGCTGCGCCGCCAGGGAAGGGGACTGCCAATCGGCAGAGTCACAAATGAGCAGTTACGGCAAAGGAGCCACGGAGGGCAAATCCTGCAGCACGTGTAAGAGAAGCAAGCTGCGCAAACACACCCACAGTAAGATCCCTCTTATGCAAAATTTTAACACACGCAAAACAATTCTACACATTGCAGTAAAAACAAAAGAACAAGCTATGGCCAACTCGGAGGAGGTAGAGGGATAATAAAATAGGATGTGGAAGTAACATGGAAAGATAGAATGGGGGAGGGGCACAGTGTGTGCTTCATCTACATGCCCAGGGTTTCCTTTTCTAAAGGAATAAAAGCCTGAGTGGTGGGTTCATAAGTGTATTTATATTAATCCCTGAAATCTCCTGCATGTCCAAAATGACATTTTCTATGAAATAGTAAATATTTCATAATTAAAACTCAAGGAGACCAGTATTTTAATTCTTGTTCTATAACCAGTATCTAAAATCTTACATTTTTAACACATTAGTGTGTGTGTCAAATAAACTGAACTAAACAAATAACCTTCATATCTAGATAGATACCCCTTTACGTTTCTGAAGCAAGACCATGTATTATGAGAAAAATCCCCCCAAACTCCCTCCATCTCTCTACCGCGCTGCCCTGGTAAGTACGTACTGCGCGCCCCTTGCGATCAAGCGATCCTCAGCAGGACCGTGGAAATCCCTACCCCGTGTCCCACGGGTGTGCTGGACTAGAGGCTTATGCTATCCACACTACTCTCCTGCTTCGTGGCCCTCACGCTCTCTACGCAAAAGCCTAATACACCAACGGGTACTTCTAACTCTCAAGTGAACAAACCGAGATTGAAATATTTAAAAGGGAAAATCTGTGGAATCGGTCAGTCCCATGCTTCAGGCACGAGTCCCATCACAGCGCTGCCCGTCCTTCCCGGGCCACTCTCTCCGGGAACAGCGCCCTGCCTCTAACGCTGCCACTAACTGCCCTGATCTCTGCCCTCAACTCCTGAAACCCAAGGCCCCTGCTAATCCCCCGGCCTTGTCCTCCACCGGAGACCTCGCATCAGCGCCTGAGGGCCTGTCCAGGGAGAGGGAGGGACTCTGAGGAAGGCTGGCAGGGCACAGCGACTGGACTCTCAGCAGGAGAGTGGGGCGGGAGCTGCCGAGACTGCTGGTCCAGCTGCGGGGAGCATGGGGACGACGAGGAGGCGGGCCTCGCTTTGTCTGGGAACATGCTGATTCCCAGTTACAGCTCTGATGTTACTGGACGGACCATGCAGAGGGACGGCATTCTGCAGAGGGGTGGGAGCCGCGGAGCCACGTCCACAGACTCTGCTCGCCCCAGATTGACACGCTAGGGTCCCTTGGACAGAGGGCTCCACCACTAACATGGAAAAAAAGTTCGAAAATCACGTTGCCACCTAGTTTCCGATGGCTCCCTCTTGACTGAACGTCCTGCACCTTCCCCAGCCAAGCAGGGTGCTGCTCTGTCCTCCAGGAACCCTCTACGCTTCACTGATTCTAAAACACATATTTTGACGCCTCTGACAGCTTACTGCAGTTTCTATTCGAGAGCTGCCGCAGTTTAACAGGCAGCAGCCTCACCCCAGTGGTGCTGCAGTATCATCAACTGTCTCTTCGATGATGGACGAAGACAGAGTCTTACCCACACTGGAAACACTCAAGTCCACAATGAGGATTATACAGCAACCACTAAAATATCTGAAAGGCAGATGGGATACAAAACCTCTTTTTATATTAACCAAAATACGAAGAAAAAGATGCGGAAAAAAGTTGCCCAGGATTTATGAAGTTACAGTTGGTCGGGCTTATCAGATTTAAACAATTTTAGGGACCTGCTACTGTACAAAACTGTAGCAACACTGACTTAATACATCTTCACTGAACACAATATGATAACTTCTCAAAACTACAATACTTAACACATTTTATAGCAAGATGCTTGCGTTTTATAATCTTTCATATTTGAAGCTAGCATATTTCTAGGTTTAAACAATGACCCCCCAAAAAAAGAAAAAACTTCATTTTCTATAAGGACATCATTCAAATGGCAGACTTTACGGAGCTAAAAGTGAACTCTTAAAGTTAAGACAGCTATGGCTAAGTAATCTGTTAAATAATCCTTCTGCTGAAAGTATTATTCAAACACCGCCACCGACTTTTATTTGTTGAAAAGTTCTTTGTAAGTAGCACTGTGATGATCCACCTCCAAGATTATAATTATAATCTAATTATAAACTTATCAAATTGTGAAGATTTAGAAAGATTCATGATAATATATATGATATTCACAAAAGAATTCTCACCGTCCCGAACCAGAAAAAATACAATTAAAAAATGTTTAATCAACATTGGAGCTGTAACAGGTATATTTTAACCAGGAGATGTTGTGGGCCCAGGGCTTGCCCCCTACAGACGCCACCAAGTGCCCCTCTGCAGCGCAGGGCTGGCACTCCCCGCCACAGGGAAGGGAGCAAGGGCCCACCCGCCTTGACACCAGAGTTGTGTTACCACAAGAAGTTAGAGGGCAGAATTTGGAGATGAAAAGCAACTGCACGCCTACCAGCTAGGAAGCAGGCAGGAGGGGCGCTCTGTCGGGAAAAGGCAAGGCGGGCACCTCACGGAACCCCCGGGCCTGGCTGTGCCGAGGCTCCCGCCTGGGGCACCCGCACAGCAGAGCCGCATCCTGCCTGACTGGGCACTTGGCGAGGCCTGCTCGCCAGAAACGAGAGACGACAGGGGCTGGCAAGGCCTGGCGATAGCTCCCATTCTCCTCTTACGTGTAACTGACAAAGTAGCGCTCCTCTCCCCTTTTCCCCCAGACGGGAAGGACCTAATAGTCAGTGTTCGTGAGTGAGGCTCATCTGTGGCTCCTCCAAGGCCCGCGTTCTGAGGCCCCAGCCCTCGAGGGTGCAGCCAGTGCTGCGGGGCACTCAGAGTGCCTGCACCAGCCAGCAGACCCCGGGGCTGGAGGCCAGCACCTCCATGGCCGGTGAAGGGGTTTCATTTGCTCCGGGATGAGAGCAGACAGATCCAGAACCCCAGCAGCCTACACCCTTCACTTGGTCCGGCCGCCACCTGCGACAACTTGGGGCGGGGAAAGGACCCTCCGCCCGCCCTACAGATGAGGGCGCTGGGGGCTTAACTGGGACTTGGGGGCTGTACGTCCGTGAGTGGAAACACAGGTCTTCTCGTTCGCCCCGAGATAATTTCTGAAAGAAGATGCTAAATGGTGAACGTGATACAGTGGAATCAAATGAAATTAGACACTGGGAAAATAACTGTGCTCCCTTCCTTACAAGTGATGTGAGAAGTGCTGGATGATCCCATTTGGTTCGTGGATTGTACATTACTGACCTCTTGTTCCCGCTGGAAAATAACCACTCTGCCGCCCTTGTCTCCTGTTGCAAGAAGGTCTCCAGAGTGACTAAACTCCACAGTTGAGATGACATCAGCTGTCAAACAACAGAAGCAATTTACCAGTTTATGATTCTGAAAGGGGTTGTAATAAATATTAAAAAAATCAATAAAAAGGATCAAAAGAAAGGTACACACATATAAAATTTCCTCCAAGGATAAAGCAACATTTTCGTGGGAAACTTATAATTACCAAGCAGCCACTTCTTGGTTCTGGCGCCCAGAGCCCATGTGGATTTATGGGTCACTGATCCAATGCCTGGTCCCTGGCACACCAGCATTTATCTAGACTGGGTTGTCTTGATATAAGATATAGGGTAGAAATTTAGGAAATTAATTTTGAGAAAAAACAAAAACAGATGAAAGTTGGCTCTAGAAGACTGCTGCCTAACTTTATAATGCATGCCTGAATGACCTTTAAAAATAAACCTGATTCTTGCATTACATTAACACGGTGACTGGTTGGCTTCTGTACGAAATAACATTACAGACAGTACCTAGCTTACTGTCTGGGTAAAGTCACTGCCATTGATAACGAGGACATCGTTACCTAGTGAGACACTGCTGGTCAGACACCGAGATTTCTACACCATCAACACCAAGATGTGGACACCAGCTCACAAGGGGTAAAGGCCACAAGGTACAAAAACGAAGTCAAGCCTAGAAAAGTCGCAGGTGTCCTAAGGTTAATACTTCAGGTAGAGGAAACGGATCTGGATTTATGACACAGACTACTGAATCAGAAAGAATATCCCAGGCTGGGCTTTAGGGGAAAACCACTTTCTCCATAGTTCAGATTTGCTGAGCACTAAGAATCAGACAAAGGTACGGGCCTGGTCTCCCAAGGGGCTGCCGTGAGCTTGTTTTCTGACTACAACTGGACGCTTCACCTTAGCTGCCGCAGAAAATCTCCTCTCTGGCTGCTCCGAGGAAGGGATGGACCACTACCGCCCCGTCCCCGCTGCCGGGGCCCCAGCTCAAAGGGCATATCCTTCCTACCAGCAACTGAAAATGACCTCTCTGGGGTGCCAGGGCCCCAGCATCATCGAGGTCGTTAAGTGTTTACACACAAATAGCACTAAACAGCTGTTATAAACGACCTACCTACTAATGAGAAAGGGACCGCAAAGTTGAAACTACTTGAAGAATGCTTCCGAAAAGTGGTCATAATATACTGCAATTCTTAAAGGTCTGCACATACATTTATTTGTTAATATATGATATCCTTCCTGCAAAATAAGTTCTTACTGCCTTGGTATGGTTTATTGACATTTAAGAGCACACCGAATTCTACCGCCTGGGATTCTTGTTTTTTTTTTTTTTCCCCTTAAATCTTCAGTAAGCCTTGGGGAAAGGATTAGGCTTCTTGTTAGAAGTGTCACTTTTTAAATTAAATTACCTGAAATAACCTAATTTGCTTAAATGAAACTAAAATATTCTGTATTGGACTAAAAGGAACTAAAAATTTATGTCATTTATACCCAGGGGGTGCACAATATAATTAATGGTATTCTAGCTCTGTCAGTGATTTTCTTTCACTCATTCATTCATTCATTTATGGCTGCGTTAGGTCTTCGTTGCTGCACGCGGGCTTTCTCCAGCTGTGGCGAGCAGGGGCTACTCCGTTGCGCGGGCTTCTCATTGCGGTGGTTTCTCTTCTCGCAGAGCACGGACTCCAGGCACGTAGGCTTCAGTAGTTGTGGCTCGTGGGCTCTAGAGCGCAGGCTCAGTAGTTGTGGCGCATGGGCTTAGCTGCTCCGCGGCATGTGGGATCTTCCTGGACCAGGGCTCAAACCCATGTCCCCTGCATTGGCAGGAGGATTCTTAACTACGGCGTCACCAGGAAGTCCCTGTCAGTGATTTTCAAACTTCATTAAAATGGAGTGAATCTTTTAAGAAAAACTGCATGACTGCCAGTGGTGAGAAATTATTTTCATTAGGCTACGTAAATAAGTACGAACCTAAAATGAGAAATACCCTCTGCAGAATTTAGAAGAGCTCTAAAATCAAAATAAACAGACAAACTAAATACTACAATTGCACAACCAATAAAATTTAAATCACCAGCATGAATTTGATGGGTATTACTGATGCCACAGCGTATATGTGGTCCTGACTGAGGGCACCCAGTTGGGCATTTCAAAAGCACCACGGGCTGTGCAGTGACTCAATTCTGCCACTTGTTCTGCCCCAGTGCCCCGCGGCTCCTCGCGTGGCAAGAGTACAGTGCCTTCGCGATGGCACAAAGAGCGGCGATGTCGCCCTTTGCTGCAGGGTGGCTGCCTGGAGGATACGAAAACCATGGAGAAGGCCCAGCAGCCCCTGAGGAGCATCTGAGACTTGCAGTCAAGCGTGGGGGCAGGGCACAGGGGCCCCCCACCCCAAGGCATCAGGAGGAGACGGGAAAGGCGTCCTCTGCCAGGCCGCCAGTGTGAGCGGGCTTCCCTAAGCGCTGTGGACGATGCTGGGGGCATCTACGTGTGCATCCACGGCCTGGGGCAGGCTCCCTGCCAGATGCTGGGCACCGAGATGGCAGGAAGTCTACCTGCTCTGCTGAACTGCTGGGTCCCCAAGCCGGGCCCCGTCCGGTCAGGCAGGAGCACACAGCTACTCCCACTTCTGGTTTCCCAAACGCTGGCTGCCAGGAGTGGATCGTTTCCACAAGGGTTCCTCTCCAAAACACCAAAGCCCGAGAGAAAAGGCCTCGAGATTCAATCACCTGAGGTCCTTAAAGAAATGACCAACCACAGGGAAGTCCTCCAGCTGAAAAGCCCACCTGCTCACAGACCTGCCTCTCTGCTCCGCAGTGGCTCCACTTAAACAAGAACCAAGAGCTCAGGGTCGAAAGACCTGTGAGAGAAAACGTCACAACAAAGAAGGCACGCTGGAGGGAAGAGGGACAGTGCACCAACAAAAGATCAAAGAAACGACAACTACCCCCGCAGGGAGCTAATCCCTAAGGAGAGCGATGAGGTCAGAATGTGGGCCTAGCGCTTGCTGAGGTGCCAGGTGCTCCTCGAGGAACGCACTCGCCTGGACTCACCCAGGGAGCCTCACCACTGCCTGCGGGGCAGGCGCTGGGCACGTTATCTGCATCTCACAGTGCAGGGCGCCAGCACATCCAGCGGGGCCCTTAGAAGACAGCAGCGCCCCGAGAAAGGAAGAAGAAGGGAGTGCTCCTGGAGACGCAAGGGGTAATAATAGTAATGTAAAAACTCAAGACCTCTTCCAAAGGGAAAAACAAAAAGACAAAGAAGTGGACAACAGGAAAGAAAAGATAATGAGAGGATAGGTTTAGGTGGCCCATCACCCAGTTACCAAGTTCCAGAAAGATGACAGAAAAAAGGAAGGGAAAAATCATCAAAGGAGTAAGACGAGCATTCCCTTAAACAGCAGCAAGTACATTCCCAGGCTGACAGGGCACAAGGCGGGCCCAGCACAATGAATGAACAGACTCGGCCCAAGGCCCATCTCTCTGAAATGTAAAACACCAAGGATAAAAGGGAGATTCCAAAATTCTCCAGAGGAAACAAACAGGTCACACACAAGAGGCATCAGATGGCATCCCACAGGAGGCAGGAGAATGGTGAATAGAAGACCATCTACCCTCAAATTCTGAGAAGAAAAAATTTTCAACCTACAATTCTAAACCTAGCCAAATTTTGAAACAAGTTTGAGGGAGGAGTAGAGGTGTTTTCAAACAAGCAAAGAGCAAAAACAACGAAATCCCTTTATCAGGAAACCACTGGAAGATGCAATGTGGCAAAATGAGAATAAACCAAGAGGAAGGAAGACGGGGATCGGACATCTCAACAATGGTGAAGAAGGTCCCAAGACTGGAGCCACGTGGCCAGCAGGCCTGGAGAGGACAGTCCAGCCTGAAGGAGACTGCAGCCAGGAGAGGTCATCTGGGGAAAGGAAAGAAGGGCTCGGGATTATCTGCTGGGTTTGGGTAAAGTCACTGCTAGGTATCTGACAGATTTGCTGAGTGACTGTTTTTTAAAAAAGCACTAAAGACAGAGAACTAAGCATATGAAAAAATTAAGCAATCATTAGCTCTAGACAAAATGAAAAGTTGTATGAAAACGAAAATGTACACTTTAGTTCCGTGATGAACAATATTTACAAAGTCAGCACAATACTGATGTAACCAAGACTCGCAAGAGAATTCTCTTAAAGCCTCTCTTTAGGGGAGGAGGGGAGTATGTGTGGGTGGAAGGTGATGTTAGCAAAAAAGCTAATAACTCATCAGTACCATTAACAGGAAGTCAGCACTTACTGTTCAGACTCACAGATCAAAAGCTCGCGGTGTCTGACATTTCGCAGAGGCTGCTAAGGATGCTGGCAGGGGGCAGTTGGTAAGGAAAGAGGCACTGGATGTCAGACACCATTTTTACTGCGACACAGGGAGGCAGGGACAAGAAGTGGGGAGGGGGCGGACTCGAAGGGGAAATGTGGTCACTGGGGTTTTTAAAGGACAGAGGATATAAAGTCATGTCCGTGTGCCATGGGCATGACGTGGCAGCGGGGACAGAAGCGAGAACAGGGTTACAGGATGAGCAGGCAGGGACAGAGATGCAGAGCGCGAGCGGGGGGTGGGGGGTGGGGGTGGGGCTGCCAGAAGGAAGGAGCAGGGACACCTGCATCTGGGGAGGAGGTCACGGTGCACACGGCACACACGTGGCAGGCTGTGAACCTGAGCTTGGGACAATGAGAGCGCGTCCGACTATCTCTTTTTTCTATGAGGTATGAGAGGAGATGCACCTGCTAAGAGTCAGAGGGAGAGGTACAGGCAACCTGGGAGAACATATGAAGGAGGTCTTCTCAGAAAGTCAGGAGTGACCGCACTAGGGAAACGCAGGTCTGTCTCATAGCATCAATGCCCACGTGAGATTTGAGGGCAGTTTTCTAAATCCAGCAAACGTCCTGAATGACTACTATAAGCCGGTGCTGCACAGGCACTGGGGACACAACGAACAAGGCCAAGTCCCTGCCCCCCTGGGATGGACACTTCTGTGAATGAATAATAACCAGCACA